TAGAGACGGTCTAAGACTAATGAATACTACCATTTTAGGCCCGGTTCACACAAGCGACTTATCTAGCTGACTAGGCTGTGACTAGGTAAGCCCGACTGGGTAGAGGACTACAGGATTAAATGGAACCGTTCACACAAGCGTAGGGCAACGACTAGCGAGCCGCGTTCGAGCTTGGTGTCCCAAACTATTGTCGGGCCCCGCTTTCAAGTCACTCATGGCAGCAACCCAGTCGCCCGCTCTAGCGGCTTAGCAGTATGGCCCCTATGGGAGCGTTCACACGAGCGATCGGTCGTCACGCTGCAGCTCGCATTCTTCCCTTTGTTCTAATTGTCGCCAGTGATGGATCCGAGTAACATTGATATCGATATTTGTATTGAATCAATGAAGCAACAACCATTTCTTTGGAACAATTATCTTTATAGACCTATTATTAGTATTACAAGTCCAAATATAGGAATAAACTAAATATAAATTTGTAACCGATTAATAGGTTTATAATATAATTTTATATTGACCCTATACACTCTAAACAATGATGTTTTTTCAACCAAACTTTATAATAGTTTAAATGATAGTTTGTTGGGTGATTCCAATGCAAATTTAGTTTTGAAATGATTCGATAATTGTTTAAAACATCGTTATTGTCCAAAACATCAATGTAAAAAAAATTCACTTACCATTGACGCAAAAACATCAAATATTTCCAGAAATATGTCAACGTATCGAAAATATTGATGTATTGAAAACATCGATGTATTAAAAACATCGTTTATCGATGCACATTCATTTACGTCACACCTACGACCTAGTCCGTTGACATGTCGCTCGTGTGAACCGGTGTATCCTTTGGTCCGCTACCCATTCGGGCTTACCTAGTTACAGTTAGCTAGATAAGTTGCTCGTGTGAACCGGGCCTAAGAAGCAAAATGCTCAGTCATGGAGAATAGTCAGCTTGGAATTTTGCCACCGAAATGAGCTTTGCGCGGCCGCACTACTCTATCTTACTCGGTAAACTGACTTGGCCGCGCGTTCAAGATAGTCTACGATGCCGATTTCGCAAGAAATGAGACATTAAAGGTAAAAAACAATTGTTGCATACATACCACTCTACATATAGGCTACATGTGGTTTTTTTTCACACTCAGTGGGGTCTTAACTCAATATATAACTGAAATTCAAATCTAATTGACTAGACTAGTGCTGAAATAAACTTTCCATGCACAAACCTGAGGCCCATGTGGACAGGCAAATGTGAGGTAAAAAGGTTAAATAAACCCTGAATTTAACTGGTTCTATTAATGTTTTATAGGTATGGCTAATGTTTTTAATAGAGTTAGAATAATCTAAATGGCATTTTTACTAAGTACAATATCCAAACTAACAGAAGAACTTTGTACAGTTTCCAATGGCAACCTAAATACAGGGTGTCAATAGAACTCTTGGGGTTTTCAAATACATATCTTAACAGATTGGAAATATGAAGTTAATTCCTTAATAACAGTTCAACTCATTGTACCAACCAATTGTAAATTTTTGGTCAGCATTTGTTGGCAACACTGTGGCACATAAAATTTGAAAAAATCTAGAGCTGCAATGCCTTACGGAAAATGTTGCTATGGTGACGGGTGCTAGTAAATGAGGAGTTTTTTTATAAACGCCCTTTACTCATAATAATTTCTTATCACAAAGAAATAAGTACGGTACCATAAATTGAAATAGGAAAAAATACCTCTTCATCAATCTGGGTGTGGCTTGCTGCAGCCACTTCTTGATTGAGTTCCTTCTTCATATTCTCAGCCGATGTTTCTCAATGTTTTCTCCTGACAGCATCTATAAATCAGAAAAAGGTGCACTAAACATACAAAATGAGTAAAGTACCAGAGCAAAAATACACCTGAAGCAGCAAACCTGCAGACTATCAATTCGTCTTAAACTGGATTTATGCTTAAAGATTTCCATAAAGCATATTTTGAATAAAGTTAGATCTAACTAGTAATTCATAGACAAAAAGAATTAAATATAGACTGTCAGCCGTGCAGTGGTTACCATAGGTTCTGGCACACAATGATGGGAGCGCCATGTAGTTACGTAGTGCGTAGGCCGTAACTGCATAGCGCTCCCAGCGGTGTGCGCCAGAACCTATGGTAACTGCAGCACAGCTGACGGTCTTTTTATATTTAATTCTTTTTGTCTATGCTAGTACTTAGGTTTTCTACTATGGGGAATGCAAAAATATGTTTTTTTGAGCAAATGTTAATATTAAGGTGAAATAGACTAAATAAAGTTGCTAAATTTGATCAACATAATATATCTACAAACAAGCAAACTATATACAAAAGCTCGCTCCGGCACATAGCCTATTTTTATAATATATGTAGCCCTACCTAATGTCAAGATTTTCCACAAATGTAGAAAGGCGATAATGATGTTCCGTTACTGTAGGGGGTATTCAGGATTTTTATGTGACCGCGGGAGACAATAATCTTTAGGCCTACATAACTTGATCTAAAGCAAAGTGACATTTAAGCGTTTCGATGCTAGAAAATTTTTTGGAATGTTCCGAAAAAAATTATAGGCTAAGTAAGAATTACAGGAGAACCTTGATAAAAAGGCTCTCAAGGGGATTATAAAATAAGACTTGTTATCAAGGTTGTCTTATTATCGAGGTTTGTAATAACATGTGATTAGGGGTAAAATAAATTCTAGGGGATTTAAAAATTAGACTTGTTATCAAGGGTGACTTGTTATCGAGGGTCTTGTTATTTGTTATCAAGGTTCCACTGTATTTACTTATTTCGTCCGAAAAGTGCTAAGCTTGCCACGAGGGCAAAGTCTATTGTGCGAGAAAAGAATACACATCATTTTGATAATAAGTAACTTAGGCCTAAGTTAACTTTTATCCTTACTCGTCCAAAAACTTATTGCAGACGGCTCTATGTGAAACTGTAAGTACCCAGGGAGGGTAGGCCTATGTTTAGCCTAGTCCTTTTGATTGACTTAGTAGAGTCTATCAAGGCTAGCAGCCTACAGTCGAGGTGCTAATTAACACATGAGTTAGGTTAGCTAAGTAGCTTAAGTTATTATGGGACCCTAACATAACAAATGAACATGAACATTCCCAATAGCAAATTACTAGGTGTTTTGACACTTTGTGACAGAATAAAATGTGCTGCAGTTAAAAAAAAAAAATAAAGTAGGCCTAAAATTTATATCAGCCCTCAGGTTTATTGGGCTACCAATAATGAATCATTATTAAAACATTTCCTGGAAAAGTTTTTAACAAACACTAAATTGACTGCCAATTTTTCAAGTGATCAAGTGAAAACAGATTTTAAAAAAGTTAAGAAGGTATAAGATGTGATAAATGTACATCTGATGTACATAAATCATAAATCAAATAGCCTAGGGCAGGCCTTTTAGCAGGTACCGGTAAGACTTTTGTGAGTTATGTCTAGACTAGGCCCAGGCTCTAAATCAAACGGTTGATGCTTAAATCATTATATTAATAACTTATAAACTTAAGTTAAGTTGGCTGCTTTAACTTATTTAAAATTACTGATTAACTTACTGCTAAATCTAGGTTATTCTACTCACCTGAAAATCGCAGTAGGTTTCAAAGTTATCACCGAGGAAAACTACTAATTAACCAAAAGCACTTATAAATTTACTTAGGGCTGTATACAAACTTTATAAACTTAAAAATTTAAACTTAACGCGAAATATAAACTCAAAACTTAAGGAAAAATAAACACTTAACCGAAAACCAGAAAGAACAAGCGCAGACGCCAGACGGCCAAACAAACACAAATAAAATGGCGGTTGTTTTGTTGTTGTGTAGTAGACTGACTAGCGCCGCTAGCGCTGCGATGGATGAAAATTACAACTACGTTGCTTGTCGTGATACACCTTCCACGAATTGGCCCCAAGCTGTTCCCCGTAAGCCTTCTTCACAAGCGTGCCACAAGTCTGGCACAAGTTGATATAAAAAGGCCTTTCCAGACAAGCCTTTGACAAGGCTTGCCGTAAGCTTACGTGTTACCTGGGAGTTTATTTACTGAACCATTGCATGTAAAGCAAGAAAGAAGTTTAGCAACTCCAATAAGTAGGTCTCTACTATACCTAAAAATTTGCTTGTTGAAACAAATATTTGTCATTATTCTGAGAATGGCCTGCAAGAAGTAAGAAGGAATTCTTAAAATAGAGCAAATAAAAAATAGTAGTATATAACTCTTAAAATAGTATTACATCAAATAAAGAAAAGTCTTATCCTAGCCCAAATAGCTGTAATGTTAAATTACCCAAACTTGATGAACAAAGCTTCTTAAGATGCTATTCCCTGTTAACTTAAACTTTGGATGTTTTGGCTAGTATGGACCTTTTTGGTTCGGGCAATTTGTTTTTGTAATCGAGGCTGTTCATTTCATGTACTACCTACTCGACCTATCCTCCTTGTTGACCATCCCCAGTAAGATCGGAAAAGCAGTATTTTCTTCATAAAGTAGGCTAAATTAAACAATTTTTGATATACAAAACTCAACACTGAGAACCCTGCATGGATTATTTACTAATAGTAACCAAATAGTTAGTAACTTGTCGTCACTTCACTTCCTTTAAATAATTATAAGTTTACCAATATTCAATGTTATCAATTGTTAAATTTCAACTTATCTTTTATTGATTAAGTAGAATTACTTGTTTAAGGGCAAATTAAAAACTTTTCTTAAAAAATAGCTCTCATTTCACATAGACATATTTCCATGCTTAAAATTCTGAGGGTCTGATAGGGTAAATGATGGGATGCAAGATCCCTTGTGATTGTATCCCAAAACAACTTATCTAAATGAAGAGTAACATGGCATTTTGATTATATGAGGGGACAATGCATAGTAAGCCCACTCTTTATAAAATCCTTTCAAAACTCAATACCTACTCCTATAAAACCTTATAATTTAGTACTGTACACTAAGACAATTCACAACAAGGTAAACATATACAGTGTATATTAATAAATTAATTCTTTACTTACTAAAACTGCTATATAAAATAGTTGGTTACACACTTATTCCCTGTATAAAACAACAATTAATCTCAAATATACACATATTGAATCAACATTAAACATTATCATTCCATCCATACAATTACTAATCACTTAGGCTTAAATATCCTTTTAGGATTCCTTATCCAACTTCCTGAAGTTGTCTGGTCCTTCTTGTGAAGAACTGGAGATGAAGGACAACTCTTACTGGAGGACGGCAACGTATCCGAATTTTTATTTCTTTTATTTATATCGACGACCAAACTTTGCCGGCATAGTGTTGAAACAGTATTGAGCTTAGCATTTTCTTTGTCTTTGTGTCTTTTTAACCGAGCTTTCCTAAACCTTGATAATATCCCGGACTTTGATTTGGGTATGGCACCTTGATCACTATTGTCTACATCACTTCCGCCAAAAACTCTTGTGCTTGCAGCAGAGTCTATGTTGATCATGCCGGCGCTGGCACTCTTCACCAGCAAAGCGCCTTCTTGATCGCGTGACTGGTCTTTACCACTGACCAATATCATCGGTACATTCTCGTAGCTTGACTCACTTCCACAACTTATCTGACTTAACCTACTTTTAGAATCTGTCCAAGGCATTCGATCACTTTGCGATGAAGTGTCCGGAGTACTTGGTGCAGATTGTCCGGGTTGTTTGGATCGAACACAACCTCTCGATAAAAATTCCTCTTTTGCTTTCTTAATTTTTAAGGCTCTTAGTCTAGTTGATTCAGGACTACTGTCCAAAGGATATATCGCGTTATCATCAAGAAGTGTCGTAGGTATAGGAGGTATATGTGGTAATTTCATTTTTTCACGTTCAAAATCAACATTTTTACAACTACCCTTACCATGTTTCTCTGGATCGTTCTGTTCAAGAGGTCTCGGTTGTGTTTTATTTTGCAATACTGTAGAAATTGAGTAATCTTTTTGAAAACTTACATCAGAGTTGTTTATATTGCGTTTAGGAGGTAGAGGGGACATGGATTTTATAGCCCCTACACTTGAAGATTTTAAAATACCGTGAGTAACTTGAGATGAGCCTTTAGCTTCTGATCTATCGTTTATGCTATCGTTAGAACATTCTTTCTCAAAAGGCCTTATGTAACCGGCACTTGCTGACTTCTGCACTTGTCCTAAAGCAGCATAAGGATAGAAATCTGCTTTTGAACTTGATTGAAAAGCTTTCTTCACTTCTTCTTGGTACCTTTCCATTTGAGATCGTATTCTACGTTCTGCAATCGGAGATCTCCAGGCTACAGGGGATTGGCCTCCACTGTCTGGTGATTTTGTACCCGTAAGCTCTTGACTCTCATGCACCTTTTGATTGTATTTTGCTATCATCATTCGTATACTGGGTGCCGTTTCTTTCATGACTTTCATTTCTCTCCTGACAGTCAATGGAGAAATTGGAGGAAACCCTGCTTCGGATCGAAGTTTTAAACTCGAAGGTATTGTACCTTCCTTACGTATAGATCTGCTGTTTTCTACAGATTCACTTGAAGAGCTGTTCTTCCTACATTGCTCTCTCAGTGAAAACATGTCTAATGAGTTATTATCAGCTTTTTCTTCAGTATTAGAATTTAATGCTGAATCGTTTGGCTTATTTGTTCTACTGGTACTGAGATCCTCCGCTTTACTTTGTAAAACGTTTTGTTTTTGTTCCTGTGGTTTAAAATCTTGCTTACTCTCGCTGGTTTCTAATTTATCAACATTCTCCTTTTCTGCCACTTTTTCTTTGCTGCGAAGTTGAATCGCCCTTCTCTGAAGAGCAGGAGATGCTGACTGTGCTCTAACTTGTTTAATGATCCAACATGGTGGCATTATAAAATCAAACTTGGGTTTGTCTTCGTTCTTATTTTTATTGTCACATTGTTTCTCTTTATTACTTTCTTCAGAGTCAGGTTTATTACTTGTACTATCTCTTCTGCATTTATTCCTTTCAATACTATCATGATTTTCACTGCCAATTTTTACTTCATCGTTGTTTTTTTTAATACCTCCGTGAGTATCAGATACATTTATCGATGTGATGTCAAGAGAAGTACTTGGAACTGGATCTTCAACGACATAGCTAATAACAGAGGAAGCTTCTCCTTTACTGTCTTTCCGAACTGGGGAAAATATTTTTCTCGTTGTAGGCACAAACACATTCACCGCCATTTCTTGATTGGGAACTAAATCTTCACTTTCAGCATTGCAGCAAAAGTTGTATGTTAAACACTTACTATCATTTAGGTTCTTACTCTCCTTTGGATTCTTTGTGCTTTTTTTTAATCTACGTGAAACACACTTTGGGCTGTGTAATGGTTTTATACTTCCTTCTGGAGTATCCTCCATACCTACATTAATACTTAATTCTTCTTTATTTCCTAAAGAATTATTCACATTTTCAGTTTCTTTTGGTAATGATTTCCCTTTTACAGTAGATTTTCTGTAACGTTCTTCATAATTGATGCACTTTTTACTTGCACATGAATCAAAGAGTCCTGTGCCACTTACTTCATCTTCATCGCTGTTTTCCTCTTTACTATCCGTTCTGCTTCTTCTTCGTTCAAGTAATCCAGAATTATGCCTACTTCTCTTGTACTTTTTCACAGTGGTATTTTCTTGAACATTTTCTGATTCAAGATTCTCGATAGGTTTACAAGTGGAAGGTGCCCCTTTCTTTGTGGAATCAATGTCAGAATCTGTATCATCAGAATCAGATAAAACATATCCAGACTTTTTCTTAAATCGTTTCTCTCTAGAATCTTCCCTAAAATAAGTCTTCAGAGGGTAAGTAAACTCAACCACACTCTCAGTAAAATGAGGTTTTTTTAATTCCTCACCATCTTTGTCGTCATTTTTAGTAGCTTCAATGTCACACTCGCCTTTGGTTAGTGTTTCAAGACTTAATGGCTGTTCTTCAACTGGGGGTGCTTCATTTCCTTCTTCTTTAGAAACTTTTGATTTTGAGGATTCACCAATAATCACACCATCAGATGTACTTTTCTTTCTAATACTGAAGACAAATGTTGTCTCTACTTCAGGACTTTCTGGGCTGATGACATTCAAGATTTTCTTCTGCGCAAATACAGGTTGAGTGTTCATCTCTAAAACAAAAAAGGAAAGTAAAATGATAATGGAGATTAAATATAGATTCGCAATGACTAACCAAACTAGAATATATTCAGGACAAAATAAATCATAAGTTATTGTCAACCAAACATTTTTTGCTTAGCTACAGAATTGTTGTTGTTTTTGGGGTTAAACCATTTCATATTACAGTATTATGTACTGATAACTAGAAGAGCTAGTAGAATCACTCAGCAATAGTTCTTCCACCTTTGGCTCATCAATGTTAATATGTCTAATATTACAACAAGCAAAATTATGAAAAATTGATTACTCTTCAATAAATGAATGGATTTTGATGAATATTGGTGCTCAGGGGCTTTACAAAAAGAAAATTTAAAGAAAAATCATAGCCCCAAGTATCTTACACAATCAAATGGAATTACAATAACACCTTCTATTCCCCCAATTGGTTTACTCATGTTAGTTTACCTGGGGTGGGCGTAAGAGAACCCAGACAAGACTTGAGCTCCTGTAGTTTGTTAGTCAGGATGACAGGCAGTTCAGTCAAATCTTCAGAGTTGGTACAGGGAAATACTTCTGGTACCTAGAAATAAAGTAAGCTAATAATAAAAATATTATAAACATTAGAAACTTCAAATGACGGTCTGTGAAGTGTATAAAACATGTTAAATATGAAGCCAATATTTAATTACCGACACAACAGGCATATATCGTTCACATGGATGCCTGTAAGATGGCCATGCCCCCCAATGAGAAAACTATATTTTAAATCCACTAAGGTCTGTAAGGTTACAAACAGACTGTGGTGACAAATAAGCTTGTTCCAAATCTTTTTAAGGATTATTGAGGGCTTTTAGACAGCCAAAACTCATTTTTAATGTGTTTTTCATAAACCTTTTTGTGGAGGAGGGCCTTTTCTTTAAACCCCTGACACTGATACTGGTTCACATCAAACACGATACTGGTTTTCTTCCTGAAGAAAATTTCTGTTGGTGCCCATGATATTGTACATGTGTATTGTGTCTCTGTGTGTTTGTTTTTAGTTTCATCTTGTATATTAGAATCGTCAATGTTAGGTGGTATGGCACCAAGTAGTCAGTTCATAACGTCAGTAAAAACAAGCTGAAAACAATTGAGTGAAACTTTAACTATGGATGCCGGATGGTACTAGATATTCCAGCCATTCCCAGATGTACGGTAGTCAGTTTTAGAATAACATGGACTTTGTTGAATTGAACCATTGACAGAGTGTGCTGATGAAGGTTATTGGTTTCTGTCAAATCCTTCAACTTTTAGCGGATCAAACTAAAAGGGCAAATTATTGAAAGCTATAGCAATGTTTATATCTCATCAACTATCAAAGCAAGACCAATTTTCTTAGGTTAAGCGTGTGTAATGGACCAGGTGTGGGTGTAGGGGCTATTAAGCTTTGACTTTAGTCAAAACTAGACATTCAACCCCCATGTTTTTGTAGTTAGTTTTAGAATTGCAATGGGGGTAGTAACAAAAATCAAGGAGGCCATAGACTTTTAGGCTATAGCACAGTCTGTGAGTGGTTCATTCATCTATGGTCTTGTTCATTTAAGATTCCTTGTCAATAGTTTTAACTTATCATTAACTATTATCATATTATGAGAACACTATTGATACATTGTTGAGCACTAGTGATGTATACTTGACGCAGACTTACCCCAACGGTTGCTACAGAGTCTGTGGAGAACCAGTGCTGATGCAGCCGCAGCTTCTGCATGCTAGGAGCTCGGCTGCTGGAGTTGAGTGCCTTCCTGAGCAGAGATATCTCTTGGTTCCTCTCACCAACTGCATGTTCCAGCTTCTCTGCCTAGGACAATCATGCATCTTTGTACAGGTTTGTAGAAAGTGGTTTGTTAAAAACAGTGAATTGTTATGTTTGAAACAAATATATTAGTACGGTAGACTTTACCGCTCTTTTGTTATCTGGACCATGTTGACGATCGAGTGCCAAGATGCTGTGTGTCATTCTGTGTGGTATGATCATGCGCATCAGCAGGTAAGTGCTGCACCTGTCTCTACTTGGAAGATATGTGCCAGACTTAAGACATCTGAACTTCTATGTACTATCTGATTGTCTCAGCGGTCTACCACACATTTTTTCAATAATAAACCAAACCTAATAATCTCTCTGTGTGGTTGCAAAGTTTAAAATCTGTGATTTCAATGAAAAACAAACTTAAAACTATGAATAGGTTTGACAAAAAAAACTCTTAATAATTATTGAGCGGAGCGAGCGAAGCTCTTATACGTCGACTCTAATGCATTTTGTAATACGCAAACTCCTCCTAGACGGCTGAATCAATCGTTTTCAAATTTTGCATGGTGATAAAACCATATCGGTGAGTGCCAACAACCCAACATCTATATGTCGTTAAAAAAGTGTCTCAGGAATCTGCCCCACTGGGTCTCAAAGTTTCAATGTAATCCTTATGAAAGCAGTATTTGACACATAAACAAAGACATATGATCAGCTGTTGACTTTTGAATGCTGTAGATAAAGAAATAGCTGATAGCATTATTCCACAGATATTAAAACAGAAACGGTATGGATCATAAATATAATCAAATGACGGCACTAGCTTGAGGGCCGTGACGTAGTAAGTGGTGAAGAAAGTAGTGAAGGTGAGCAGTCTGGAGTGTGGAAACTGTTTATGACGATTAGATTTATTATGGCAATTATTAATTTTTTATTATGGCAATAAAAAATTCTGATTCTGATTCTGATTCTGATTCTGATTCTGATTCTGATTTAGGTATCTGCATTCCTAAAATTCTATGGGAAGGGAGGAAAACAGGTCCGCGGTGTAGGAAGTGGTGAAGGAAGTAGTCAAGGCGAGCTGTCCGGAGGGTGGAAACTGTTTATGACGATTAGATTAAGGTATCTACAATCCTAAAATGCTATGAGAAGGGAGGGAAACAGGTCCGCGATGTAGGAAGTGGTGAAGGAAGTAGTCAAGGCGAGCTATCCGGAGTGTGGGAACTGTTTATGACGATTGGATTAAGGTATCTGCAATCCTAAAATGCTATGGGATGGGAGGTAAACAGGTCCGTGATGTAGGAAGTGGTGAAGGAAGTAGTAAATGCGAGCAGTGCGGAGTGTGGGAACTTTTTATGACGATTGGATTAAGGTATCTGCAATCCTAAAGTACCGGAGTGTGGGAACTGTTTATGGCGATTAGATTAATGTATCTAAAATACTAAAATGCTATGGAAAGTGATGAAAACAGGTCCACCATGTAGGAAGTGGCTTAGGAAGTACCTAGTAAAGTATGAGCATAGTGTGAGAATCGTCTGTGGCAGTTAGATTAACGTATCTTTAATCCTAAAATGCTATGAGAAGAGAAGAAAACAGGTCTATGACGTAGGAAATGGTGAAGGAAGTAGTAAGGCTTGAAGTGCAGAGTGTGGGAACTGTCTTTGGCAATTACATTACTGTATCTGCAATCCTAAAATGCTATGGGAAGAGAGGGAAACAGGTCCACGACGTAGGGGGTGGTGAAGGAAGTAGTAAAGGTGGGCAGTGTTGAGTTTGGGAATGGATTAATATATCTGCAATGTTAAAATGCTATGAGAAGAGACTGTAGACTGTAGGTTAAAATGATTACGAAACACGAATCGATACATATTTTTGATACATGCAATCGTTTACAATAGAAATTTACAACTGAGTCGACAACAGCTGATTTTTACTTCATAGAGGCTAAAAACGATTTTTAATCCCTAAAGACAGAGAAAACATACTACTATAGTACAGTAGTATGTTTTCTTTGCTAAAGAGTAAAAATGCTACTTTAGACCCGCAACGCATGCATTAAAAACGACTGTTTTTAATGCAATATGACAAAAACAATATAATATGAACCCTTGATGACTCCACTGAATTTTGTGGATGCCTCTGCGAACGCCACCTAGTTTTTAAACACAATTGCAATACTGTAGATTTTTTTTTAAATTTTCTGCGTTTTGACCTTTTTGTTTATCCAACCTTGCCGAGGCCGATTCCAGTTGGATAGTAGGGATTTTTTAAATAATAAAAACTGTGATTAAAAACATAGCATTTGACAAGATAGGGACATACAATCTAATAGGGAGGAACCATCCTCAGAAAATTTCACTTTTTGAATTTTTTGACGGAAGTAGGGTTCAAACATCAAAAGAGAAAAGACACGACATTGTTTGATCCAAGGTTTCAAAATTAGAAGCATAAATTTAAAAAATATTCTCTGAGAGCTCTTTCCTAGTAGACTAGCCAGTATGTGCTTGAATATAAGCAAAGTCAGGCTGCAATTGCTTTTTGGCAACTTAAATATATCCCTGTTAAAGGATCTCTTTGTGTTTCCTTTTTATTACTAATAACAAGTTTTACTTTCTCAAACAATAAAACAAACGTTGACAATTTTAAGACTGTAATTTTTTTATAATTTTAATACTTGGTCGACTACCACTCTTTCTTTATAGTGACAACTCCAGACTAATTTCATATGAGAGAAAAATTCAGGAAACCCAGTTTTTAATTTAAAACCAAAAAAATATTGAGTTCTCAATAGTTATAATATAATCACCAGTTGTATCAGTTGACTTGTCAACTCCTGCACATGAGAGTATGAGTCCGGTTGTCCGTCAGAGTTGTCTTGCGGTTGTTTGTTGTCAGACTCGGTTGTCCCTGTCGCAATGTTGTCTTGCAGTTGCTTCACTTTGCCCACCAGATCTTGTGCTATCAGGGCTTGTTGCTCGCTGTGCTCTACAAAAGAGTGCTAAAATCAAAGAAAAGAGTTATTTCATAGCATCACTCTTTTAGGAGATCAATACCTATCTAGAGTTAACATATGTTAAGTTAAGTTGGTCCAAAAAAAATGTATTGAAAAAACTCCAACATTATTTGCAAAATAAAAATGGAAATTTATGCTCCTGAACTTATAACTCCTATTACTTTTGCTGGATGAAGATCAACAATCTAATCAAGAATTTTTGAAAATATCAAGACCTTTTCTTCGTCTCATATAGCATCACTCACCTGTAGAGTTACCTCTTCTTCAAGTAGTTCCTTTTGTTGTGACTCCAGTTCTAGTAGTTTCTCTTTTATATTGTGTACGTTGTGTTCTTGTTCTGGGGTTATTCCCTCTTGAGCCTCATCACTGACCAATGTTCCTAAGAGAAAAAATTGTCAATGTTTCTTTATCAGTACAGCTTGATTACAGTTGTTCTTAAAATTTAATTCCAAGCTTTATGTTTGAATTTTTTCATACAGGAAAATTATGATTTTGTTTAAATCCAAAAGAAGAACAATAATTTACCACAACCATTCATTTTGGTTATTTCCTTGCTTTTGTTTGCATTACCTACATGAACAGGCCTGAGACCCATGTAGGTAGGGAAGTGTAAGGTTGAAGGCTGAAGGAGTTGATCTATGTCTCAAGCAAGGGACACATGCAAGCCCCACGTCTTGGCTGTTGGTTAAACCAGTAAAAATGCATTTTTTTCAGTGCTATTGAGTTAGACAGTCAATAAGTAAAACTTCCAAGAAGATAACACTCTGAAACTAACTTCTCATAATAATGTGTCTAATCAAGGTTTGTTATACTTTGAGCAGTTAAAGAATCCACTGTGGGATTAAAATGGAATTTGATTTGGAAAGTACTTTAGTCAAGGGGCTCTGTCATCTTTAATTTAATTTAGGATCCACTGGATGAACTGTTTTTCATTTTCGTTTACTATTTGTCTATGGTCTAATTATAGAGAACTCACCTAGATGTTGTCTATGGATTCTTTCAGTAGTATGAAGTTTGTCTTCTACATCATCTATTTTATTCTCCAATTCTCTGTAAAAGAAATAATGTAAGAAGAACAGAGATTTAATTTAGACTGGGATATTACAAGAAGTTTATATTGACACCTAGATCCAAATTCACTGTAGCTTTTGTATTGCAGGCCACAAAGCTTATAACAATCTGTGGATGTTTGATGATCATCAGAAGAAGATGTGATGTACACAAAACATTCGTTTTTTACTTTTTTTGATCGGTTGAAAAATATTTGTACCTATTCTTATTACCTTATAACCGGTTCTTCTTCTTTTACCCCACGTGGGATTGATGGCGCCATTAAAAACATGAAAACACTTGACTATTCATCTATTGTAGATAGATAGGTTCTATTGACACTTCTATTAGATTACTCATTAAACAAAAAAAATTATACATTATATATTATTTTATGTCTATTGATTTTTTTTTTTATACTCAAGTGCTCATCTTAAACACAGAACTCGGTTTTTCATGTCGTCCTTGAAGAGGAATTGCTTTGGATTACAACTTTTGAAGAACATTTGATTTACAATTTTGTTAATGGTACAAACCATATTATTGAATCATTCCCATAAATGTAATCTTCATATAAAAAATACTACACATTTAATAGCTTTGGTTCCATACCACTCATAAACTCGAGAGCTGACATCTATTCTGATAACATGATAAAGCTCTTACTAACATATATTGTAATTTATTATTGTTTACTCTATGTAAGAACACACCTGCATATATCCTCCTTCCTCTGCAGTTTGTCCAGGAGGGATATGTTCTCATGGAGCAGTTCTATGCTGGACTGAGTAGGAACTCCAAATCTGAGGTCTCGGTCACTGTCACTGCCACAACACTACCGATCACGCATACATCTCAAACCACACTGAGCTATTGTATCAGTCCAATAGTGTTGATAGTTAAGAGAGTTATACATAAATTAAGGTCTCCAAAAAGGGCTTCTGTTAAGACCAAGTGAGCTATTTCAAATTTGACGCCAGTGCTGTAAACTAAAAACCTGACATAATCCTACTAAGTTACTCTATGCCAGTTTCCCACCCCTGTGGTACTTAGCTTGCCGTAGTAGCCAAAAACAATGTGAAGTAAAATCAACATATTGCCAAGAGTGAATCTTGTTGCGAGGTTAGTTTTCACAGACTAGATTCATACTTGAGGGTTGTGCTAATTATCCCTAAAGCCGCGTTTACACAAGGCTAGTTGGCGGGCAGGTTACCTGCCTCAAGTAACTTGAAATCAGAGGCATGTAACCTGCTCCATAACCTGCCTGCTCTACTGGCCTCGTGTAACTGCGGCTCTAAGTTGTTTTCGGCTTCTATGTCAAGAATGGTTGCATACAGGTGAAAACTGGCTGGAGTAACCGTGGATGAGGTAAAGAACATGATGTTCTTCTCAGATTTAAAATGGCCTTCTAGGTTGCAGCGAGCGGTTCAATAGAGGCCCTTACAGACAACCCTTGTACAAAGAGTGTAAACGAAAATTGAGGTTTAGGGAATGCTTGCAAAATAAATTTTCCTCTTCAAAAGAAAACTCTACCAACCTTTAACCCTTCTTACAAAAATTGAAAAAAAAAACTGTTTTTATCAATTACAATTTTTAAATCCCACATCAACAGACATAATACAAATTTAACAAAGGTGGCTGATTGCTGAAGTGTAACATTAATGTTATTGTTTATAGGAAAATTTTATTTTAATATGAAAAGAAGAAATTTGTTTTATAAATCCATAAAGCCATGGCAATGAAAACCGTTCAGTCTTCAATAAGTTATCCTGTTTTAAACATGGTGGCTTATAACCCACACTGTGTTTTCTAAAGATGTTTAAGCTAGCCATAACCTAACATATTTCTGATATTGATGCATAAGGGTTGGATATTAAAATGAGTGCATCTTAAGAGGTATCATCATTCATTGTTTTACTCATTGATGTTTCTGTTTTCAACCAGGTGTTTTGTTTTTAACCTTGAATGTGTAAAGTTTAAAAGTAACAATGAATGTTACTGATTTAGTGGTACCTAACTAAATGAAATATGATTACTATGACAGTACCTGCCACTGGAGTCTATAAGACGAGTGACTTCTGACGGAGCGTAGCAGTACACCGGAGTTTGACACTCCACAGCTGGAGTATAGGGTAGCGGAGCAGCTGTCTCTTCCACTACATCCTCAATATCCACAATAACTGCTTGCGGTTCTCCCATCTCCAATGAATCTAGGTAGATAGATTTGAAAGATAAAATATGTGAGTCTAAATGATTCCATAGTCTAGTAATTTCATGACTGTTTTTTCTGAATTTTTCAAATTTATCGACAGTTATCTATAAGTTTATCCATGGCTGAAGATGTTTTGCATTCAGGAAATTAACTAATTTAATTTATTTATCAGGCATTCAACTCTTTAAGGATTGATGGACCATACCCATTCCCTACTTACCGGTAAACTGATATTAAAAGTCTTTACTGTCAAATTTGCAAATGGGTATGTTAAAGCATTGACTTTTGGATTCCAAGGTAGACGCATCTCTTTGGATCAGGTGTATTCCATTTTACGATCAAGTAGAACGCAGTTGAATGAGCCAGAAAATGAGTTACTATCGCGACAGTAATAGTTTTTCTCTTAGTTTTTGATACTAAAAGCTTATATGATATTAAATATGCTATAGGTTAGTGAGTTGACCTATTAGTCCCGGTTTTGGCCAGAAAGTTGGTGTATACAATTTAAAGCAGTAATTGGCCTGTAGTAGTTCTGCAGTAGTTCTGTTTGGCCTGTTTATTAATGACTTCCCAGAACACCTTGAGGAGTACAGCAAGATGGTCATGTATGCAGACGACACTCTGCTGCTTACAGCAAACAGAAACATAGATCAACTAGAAGTAAACACCTATATAGCTTTCAATATGACACAGGACTACTGTATGAAAAATGACTTAGTCCTCAATGAAAGTAAGACCAAGCAAATTACTTTTGGAAATAAAAAGTCTACAGTATCTGAAATGCCCAACCTGACAGCAGCTGAAGAAATTAAACATCTAGGTGTCATAATTGATGAAAATTTATCCTGGGATCGTCATGTAGCTTGTCTATGCCAAAAACTCGGGCCAGCTCGCTTTGCCATAAAACGAATCAAAGAGACTAGTACCCCTGAGGCAACGAGGACTGCATACCATACATTGTTTGAAAGCCATATACGCTATGGTATCACTGTCTGGGGTGGATCCACTATGGACAATCTTAACCGGGTCCTGGTTATGCAAAAAAGGGCTATCAGAATAATAGCAGGCATAAGTAAAGAACAAAGCTGTAGAGATGCCTTCAAAAACCTGAACATCCTGACGGTGACTTCCATCTACATCCTAGAAACTGTTTTTTACTGTGTAACCAAAGACCCGCCTAAACAAAGAGATATACATGAATACAACACCAGATATGCAGGAAACTACGTGCTGCCTGGCCACAGAACAGCAATGTTTGAAAAGAAACCACTGTATGCAGGAGTGAAGATGCTTAACAAATTATCAGACCACTTCAAAATTGGAGGCCCGTTGCTGATGAAGAGGAAGCTACGGAGATGGCTGGTAAACAAAGCTTTCTACACCCTAAACGAGTTCTTTGCATGGCAAGACCACACACAACACCAAAGAGGCTTTTCCATTTCACTTTGTATCTGTAAAATTTGACGCTGTAACATTTCTTGATGAAATTGTAATAAAGAAATTGTCTATTGTCTATTGTCTATTGACAGGAGAGCTCTACACTCGATCCTAGGCTAAATTAAACTACCGTACAGTCATACAACCCTAAGAAGACACTTTGCAGATGGGGTCAAAACGCTGTACAAGCCACAAAGTAAACGTTGGGTCTGCCTTATACTCGACCACTCTCCTGGCACTAATCGACTTAGTGGGGCCATGCACACAGAAGGTTACTGTCAGGGGTGCAAGAAGAGTAAGTCTCCGGTAGCTGGTGATTAGATGGCAAAACCAATGTTTTGGAAAGGCTCTTTTCTGCCATAATCAACCCTTTCCTCTATCATCCTGCACCGGGAACAAGTAGGTTTGTTTGATTGTAGGTTTGTTGTTGTGATTGTGTGTTTGTTGATCGGTGCTGTAGTTGTAAATTTTCAAGTGTGGAAGCTCACAATTGTCGAGAAAAAACACGGGTCACCTTTTGATGTATAGGTTCTTTCTTTCCGCTCCACTACACCACTAACTACATAACTTTTATTCGGCCACAACTTCAATGTGCTAATGGAATGTCTCGTTCTATCTATGCTTAATGATAAACGAGTCTACTTACTTCTAAGTGTGCAATTCAGCTGGTTGTTCTCCAGTTGTTCCATATGATTCAGTGACAGACTGGATGGCTGATGAGTTAATGTACTTTGGTTTGCGGTCATTGCTACAATGTCCACAACACTACCCATGGACTTAGACCTAGTCAGGAGTGAGCCGATGCTTGCCATTCCATCTAGACAAAGTGTAGAATAAGTCAGGGCTGCTTTAGTAAATGGACTCAGAGAGTAAATATATTCGGTTTTAGGTTTGTGTGGGATGCAATGAAGAGAAAACTTCCCTGAGAGGGAGCGTAGAGGGGACGAAATTATCTCTTGGGCCCATAGCACATCTCATGCAAACTGCTGGCCTGGATTAAGTTTAAAATAGAATATAATATAGAATTAAACTTGAAAGATTGTACAAATGGCCAAAGCAGTTATAGTCGGAGAAATATAGGATATGACCTTAAAAAAATTGCAAGAAAACGTTTTATGGTTTTATTTTGTAGAGTTGGGTTTGCAGAATGACATACTAAAAGTTGCCAAAAATCTGTGCACTAGAAAACCATTAAAATCATAATTTAAAATGGCGGCTTTTTCCAACATTGGACAAACTAAAAAAACATATTTCACATGCATTTGTTATGCACATTTTTCGAGATATTGACTTGGGACCACCGCCTGTATTTATTGGGTGGTTAGTACTTCATTTTGATAGGGAACATGTTTTTGGCCGCCATCTTGGATCCGCCATATTGGACATAGATAATTTTTTTTCAAAGTAATGATAGTGTTGTGACACATCATTACCAACTACATTTTTACGCTGATTTCAATGGCGAAATCCGTTTTTAAATATCTTTATTCATTTAGAAGATATATTCAAACGATAACTCTCCACCATACGTTTCTTATGGACGTTTCGTAGTTTGATAATTTTTTTAAAACTATTTTTCTTATATCTCCAGTTCTTATTGACGGTTGTAGTTCGTTCTAGGCTTAAAATATTCAGTAATGTAAGGGCTTTCGTTTGAACCCTTGATCATTAAAATCAGTCGAGTTAAAGACCAGCTACGAACCTCAGAACAATATTAAATTTAACTTTTTAGAAATATATTTTTATTAAAAGATTTATAACTCGGGTTGTTAATACGACACAAAGTTATTTCTGGTCTCAAATTACTCAGTAAATGTTTGGCTTTAATTTTATCGATCATTAAACAAAATCTGACAATTTTAAAATGAGTCATGGACCATAATTTAACATTAAAATGTATTTATATTTAAATTTGTCTTTAGTTAAAGACGTATATCCCCAATTCTAAATAACTCCCAAAACTGTTTATAGTCTTAAATAATTCGCCAAAATATTGACTTTTATTTTAGCTATGGATTACTTTCCGAGAGTTATTAGGGTTTGGGATATATGTCCTTAACTAAAGACAAATTTCAAAACAAATACATTTTAATGTTAAATTAAGAACCATGACTCATTTTAAAATTGTCAGATTTTGTTTAGTGATTAATAAAATCAAAGCTAAACATTCACTGAGTAATTTGAGACCAGAAAGAACTTGGTGACGTATTAACAACCCGAGTTATAAATCTTTTAATAAAATATATTTCTAAAAAGTTAAATTTAATATTGTTCTGAGGTTTGTAGCTGGTCTTTAACTCGTCTGATTTTAATGATCAAGAGCTCAAATGAAAGCCCTTACATTACTGAATATTTCAAGCCTAGAACGAACTACAAGTGTCAATAAGAACTGGAGATATAAGAAAAATAATTTTAAAACAATTATCAAACTACGAAACAACGAAACGTCCATAAGAAATGTATGGTGGAGAGTTTTCGTTTGAATATATCTTCTAAATGAATAAAGATATTTAAAAACGGATTTCGGCATTGAAATCAGTGTAAAAATGTAGTTGGTAATGATGTGTCACAACACTATCATTACTTTGAAAAAAAATTATCTATGTCCAATATGGCGGATCCAAGATGGTGGCCAAAAACATGTTCCCTATCAAAATGAAATACTAACCACCCAATACAGGCGGTGGTCCCAAGTCAATATCTCGAAAAATGTGCATAACAAATGCATGTGAAATATGTTTTTTAATTTGTGCAATGTTGGAAATAGCCGCCATTTTAAATTCTGATTTTAGTGGTTTTCTCGTGCACCGATTTTTGGCAACTTTTAGTATGTCATTCTGCAAACCCAACTCTACAAAATAAAACCATAAAACGTTTTCTTGCAATTTTTTTAACGATCCCTATGTAAGTTTGTTTAGTTTGCTTGGACTATTAAGAGTAAGTAAATACTTGGGAGATTGCATTGTTGTAAAATACTTTTATGAGTTTAACTAAAATATTACTAGCTACTGTGACGCAGTAGATGTAAAGTGGAACTTTTACAAATTAAGTTTGTTTTTTACAGAAATTAATTTACAGTGATCCATGGATTTTGCCATATTCAATCACTTCTCCCCTAACTTCTATGGTGTAAAAAAGGCCTACAATGTACACTAATACCAAAAATTAAAACGTCTTCACTAATGCACTGATGTATAAAACACTGGTTTCCTAAACTCAATGATTAAAATTAAGGTGCATGTGGTTGATGAATCTGTTATTGAAATTGGATACTCTGGCATCTCAACTGTCGTTAACCTGATAGAACATCTACAATCATAAATCAACTATACTGCATGTACTTTATCTTAGACACAAGTGTTATCAGATAATTCCCATTTTATAAAAATTACAATAGACAAAAGATCACAATAATTTATGTTGTCATGATTCAAATCTAGGTATGTGTAAGTCTACAAATTGTTTACATTGCATCCCCCTTGTGCTTGGTGAAATTCTTAGCCATGTAGATAAAAATTATTCTTATAACACAAATTGGGTGTTTTGCTAGCCTAGTGGTTAGCGAGTTCGGTGCAGGAGGGATTTGTTCAATTCCCAGTACATCCACAAACCTTTAATTGGTTTGGACCACTTTCCGTTAAAAGTGTTAATGTTAATACTTAACTAGTTGTGACTTAAAATTAAAATGCCACTGGTGTGGAAAAATACTAAAAGTCAATACTTGCCTATGCTAGATTCTTGCGTGCTGGTTGCTGAGCCGGGGGGTTGATATCCAGGATCTAGGAGTGCAAAAGTTGACGCCTCTGGACCAATGCCTTTGGCCTTCTCCCACTCATACAACTTGCGAGTAAACTTTTGTGAGATTCCTTCGAACCTAAATAAGCCAGTGGATGTCGGAATTAGGATCTCTTGCTTCTTCAAGTTCGCGCCTATTGCTTTTCTTAGTGTTTCTAGTCTGAAACAGAGGAATATTCTACTAGATCACGGGAGATAAAGTACTTTTAGCAGCCTTAAAGCTTAAAGTATGGCATGTTGAAATTATTTAAAGCTTTAAATCCTTTTATCTATCAACTGGTAGCCCCTCAATATATTCACATAAACCTAAAGAACATACAGAAATTATCAGGATAAAGTATTGAAGGAATTATATGTCTCATTATTTAATAAATATGTTAAGAACGGATCCATAGAAAGGTATGGTTAGGTACTGTTAACACAAACATATAACAACATTTCATATAAATATATTCTTACCTTGCCTCTCTCTCCAAATATTTGTCCCTTTCTCTCTCCAACCGTTGTTTCTCCCTCTCTATCTTGTGAAGCTCCTTCTCCAACCAAGCGAGTTCTTTGACTTCATGATGTGATTTTGATTTTTGAATTTTCAGTTGAAAGCCAAAGTCAGAACCCTTCTTGCTGGTTGGGCTGGTTTGTGATTTTCCACTTTTGTGCTCGCTGCAGTCTCTTCTAGATGACGCTGGGCTTGGAGTTTTATTCCCTGCACAGTCTGTTTCTATATGTCCTTGCTTCAGTCGCTCCCATTCTTGTAGTTTCTTGTAGAAATCATCAGGAAGATCAGCTGGTGGAGTAGCAATACTGGAGATTCCCACATCACTTTTAGAAGATACAACTCCTGGCCGCCAAAGCTGCCATTCTGTGATCTTCTTTTTGAACTGAGGTTGTGAAATATTAACAATGTCGGGCGTTTGAGGAACTTGAGTAGATTTAATCTTTTCCCATTCCTCTAGCTTTTTCTTGAAGTCTGGGCTGAGATTTTCTTCGCCAAGTTGCTGCAAAGTAACAGATTCTCTGTGCTTGGATGTGCTCGGGCTTTTCATCTTCTCCCACTCTTCCATCTTCTTCCGGAACCCTTTGTCATGAGGAGAATCGTCCCCGACGCTGGATGTTCCGCTGGAGAATCCACTTCCTCCAACTCTGGTACTGCAAGGAGGAGTTCCGGGACTGCCACTGCTCTTCATTCTCTCCCACTCACATAGCTTCTTGTGGAACTCCTGACTGAGCTTCAACTGCAATTCCTCATAGTTTCTCTGGATCTCTGCCTGAATGTTGTCGTGTTTCATGTATGCTTCGCCGACCTCCTCAGATGCATCTGGGAACACATCGTCGTCCCTAGTGCTGTCGTCCATGAACTCCCCACTGCTTAGTTCATCAGACTCTGAAAACAAAATAATTTGTATCCTCCTATAATTTACTATCCTTCAACTAATAATGGATTTGAATACATACACTGTTTTTAAATTAGTCAAACTTTAGCCATCCTTGAATCCAACAAGTTTTAGTAAAAAATACATGATGCTAAGCTACTCTAGTTTTCTTCAACTATACAATATGAGTACCTTCATTATCTTGGCTCTCAAAACAAAACGAGTATTCAGTTAATATAGTCAATTTTACTAATTTAAGGTAAGTCCAACTGTAGAGGTTATTGTTAATCGACTACCGTACATTTTATTGATTTTATAAAGTCGTCTTACCAATGTCGTAAGTGAAGTTAGCAGACTTAACAGGACTGGATGGAACTGAGCTACTTCCCCTCAGAAGACAGTCCTCACTTTGAGCTCCTGATGTTAGAAATGCATTTTTCACTTTAGACCATTTAGACAATCTCCGTGGAGTGGGAGGCGAGGTGCCTGCACTACCGCCAGATATCTGTAAATATTTTTTTGAAACTTGAGAACATTCTTTTGCCATCTTTATCATCAAAATCTACTCATTATAATCTGTCTCATTGGGGGAAAAAATATTAGAGTGAAGGATGGGTGTAGAATGTCGTGAGATGATCTTTGTAGCTTTGTTACTGACTTATCATCATATTAGTTGTTACATTAGCCAACATAATTTGTTAAAGTCCAATGATGGATGAGTCCAGTTTTCAACCATCAAAAAGCTATTGACTTTTCTCAGGATCAATACGGGAACCTCAGGAGACTGTAATTGATAAGTACTGTATTATATCGGTTTGTTTCTCCCCGAAGAAAATGAAAGTCAATTATGGACTGTCGCATGTGATCCGTGTAAAACATCTTAGATTTACAACATTCAATAACAATTTTTTTCAGCATGGGAAGGTGTTCTTCATTGTTATATACAAAGGTATAAACAAGGCCATACATTTTAAAACTCTGTTCCCTATAACCTATTGCTAAAATAACTTCAATAACTGAATCTTTAAGTCAGTGGTTCAAAATGTTGAGCTAAATAGTAATAAAAAATTAAGATAGTAAGATAATATTCATTAAGATATTATCGATTGAAATACCAAGCATAGCGTGGTTGCTGACTAAAACATGTTGATTTCTTATCCAGAACCATTGAAATGATAAATCATATTGACTTTGATAGAATATGATGTTCAGTAGACTCGTAGGGACAAAACTTTTTTCACCATCATATGAAAGAAATATACCCCAATATTTCATGAAAATATCAACCACAAACTCAATACACAAACCTTTCTAGGCACATGATCACTCTTATCCCGCAACCCGCCTTCTTCAGGTCTTCCTTTCACTGAGGTTTTAAGATGTCTCTCGTCTGTCTGAGGACTAGGAGGAGGTTTAGTCGAGACTTTGGTCGCTGTTGATGCCACACTCTCCTGTTCATTTCCACTGTGCAACTCCTCCGTTGATGGCAGGGTGATTGTCAGCATAGGAGCAAGCTTCCGCTTCAATGTTTTGTCATAAGTCCTTCCTAGAACGTCTGTCTCAGTCCCCTCTAAGCTGTGGTCACATGTTATCTGAGGGATGAATAAGATTTTGTAATAAATAATTTGTAGGCATTTATCAAATATTACTATTTTTTTTTTTAATCATGGTAAATTATAAGGATCCTTCTCCACTCTGTATGGGATGTTTTTAAATGTTTAAGAAGTATACCGGGGAACTGAGCAATGGCTAAGTATAGTTTATTTATTTTGATTGTAAAAGCTATATAAAGGAAACTCACGTTTTTCATTTACTACTAATTTTGGCTTTTGTTATTTAAGTTTCAGTGGAATTTTAATTTATAATGATGGAAATTTTAACCTGGCAATCCACAACACTCCACAACACATTAATTTATTTTACAGTCGATGGTTTAGATTCTAATGTACATCAAATAAATATAATATTATTAAATATTTATTTCAATGTTAAACCAAAGTTTGCTAACAATTGCCTCAGTACTTGAAGGATTAAATTTTGGTAGGAAAGAGCCAAGTAAAATAATCAGTATTTGATCAGAACTATTTTCCTTTTTTATATTGATGGATGTTAGCCTCCGGATTACTGTATAATACTTAAAGTTGTTTAAATACTTGTATTTAAGTAATCCAATTCAATGCTTTATGGTGCAACCGGTTTCAACTCTGCCGAGTCATCAGGCTTGCAAGGATATAAAGTTGTCACTTATTTGAAGGTAGTCATAGTTTTTTTAAAAACGAATAAACACTTATCACGAACATTAAACATTGAGCACTGACATTTAACATTTAAAAAACACACACAAAATTACTGAGAACACAGTCTAGGCTTCACATCCGGCCAGTACGTATCGCTCACCTTCTCAGTAATTTTGTGTGTGATTTTTAAATGTTAAACGTCAGTGCTCAAGTTTCAATGTTCGTAATAAGTGTTCATTAGTTTTTTTTTTTAACTATGACGACCTTCAAATGAAGTGACAACTTGTATCCTTGCAAGCCTGAATATGACTCCAGGGAGTTGAAACCGGTTGCACCATAAAGCAATGCATTGGATGACTTAAATGCAGGTATCTAAACCACTTTAAGTATTTTCCTTTATGTCTAGTTATCTTCAGAGTAATCTTTGCTCAATAGTAACAACTGATTTTTCCCCTTTGTACTGTATATTGTAATTTGCTAGTAAACTGTGGGTGGCTTTATTGTTTTTTGTAACACATGTTACAAGTCTTTTGTTTACAATTTTCTTGTTATTTTGTTCAACCAACATAATTACTTGGCAACTTATAAGGCCAATGTTAAATTTTTTTTATTTGAAATGACTTGTGTATTGAAATATGATTACGAATTTTCCTGACGTAGTGGCTGTTGCCAATCTCTGTTATAAGCCAATCTAGGGCTATAAGTCCCTAATAAGTCAAAATCCTTCCACTGGATTTTGAGATAGACAGACAGACATACAGACATAAAGACATCAGACAAACAGACATAGCTGGTATTAGAGTATAGGATTGGCTTAAAACATTACTTAATGTCATTATAGTTATGTGTCATTAATTTATCAATATTAAATGCCTTTTGAATGCTATTTTCATGAATAAAGTCTCTAAAATACCATAAAGACTGCATTGACCAATAGTTTTACTTACCTAGCATCAAATAACAACAAACCTATTTGAGTTTAATTCATATGAAACATGTATGTCTAAACTGCACAGTTACTGACCAGAGCATGACTTTTCAAACAAAACCAAATAATGGACCAGTGTTTATAGGTTAACAGATAAGCTTATCTGTATTTGTGCAATTTTCTCTGATGGCAGGCAACTCTTCATCGTTGGCCTTGCTTTCAACAAATGACTCTGGCCAGAGGAACAGCTGATCTTGGCTGACTGAGCCAATATGAAAGTTATCATGTCATCATTGTACTTCGCAATCTGCTGTGTTAATAGTGAATTGAATCAAAATCAAATGAGCAGCCTGTTCCAGGTTTTTTTTTTTTTGCTCTTTTATATGGTACCTTTATTTTATAATATCCAAATGTTTATTTATTGTTAGATTAGTAACAGTGTTACCTACTATAAAATTTTTTTTAAAAAATTGTTGTAGCCTGATATTGACATTTGACACTATTCATGTATGTACATGCAATATGAATAAAGATTTTTGATTCTGATTTTAATTCTGATTATAAAACAACAATGAATGTAAAATCTTAAAAGCAAAATGATATTTACCTAAACAATTAGTATTCCAAAGTCAATGACTTTTGGCATTAGATGGAAAAATCCCATTGCCGTTTTTACCTGAAGCACATGTGCCAGGCCAGGAGATTTCAATTTAGGTAAAACTCAAAGCGCTACTCCCCAAAAACCCCATCCCAAAAATCTCACAAGGGATAAGGGATTTTGTCAAAGAAAAAAGAACATTTAAAAAACTAAAATCTCAACCTTAAATCATGAACACCCTGTTGTTTCCGCATCCTATAGGCCTAAATCTAATTTAATCTCTTGTGCTTCTTTACCTCAGAATCATGGTACAGTGCATCTTGAGTGTGCATCTCCCCAGCTGATATACCACTTTTTGTATCCTCTTCCACATCACTATCTCCCTTCTTTTTCTTCACACTTCCTGTCCGTGTTTGTATGATATCCTTCATCTTTCCCCATGGAGTTTTCATTCCTTTGTGCCCTGATTGGCCACTTTTATGCTCCTGAAAGTGTAAAACTAAGCTAATCAAAGTAATCCACTTGATTTAATATGCAACTAGTCATGTTTTTTTTTTTACGTTTTTTTTTCAATTATTATACCCATGAAATTTTTTTATAGGTCAATTTTAAAAGTTTGAGTTTGATAAAGACCTTTTTGGAGCATTTATATTTTGTATGACTTCTTCATCAAACCACCAGAAATAAAGCTGTAAAACAAAATCTTCTATAAGAGTAACCACAACTTTTTTGTTAATACTTAACCTTTGAATTTCAGCTTGTCCCATGATCTGAAGTTTGTACAATCGACTTGGAAGGGCCCTCAAAGGGCATACATTGACTAGAAGATTCATAGTCTGATTCACAAAGACTGATGATGACTATCGATTGATGTTGTCTTTAAGGTACTGCACATGTGTTTCCTGAGTTGTGCCAAATAAATGACAATTGTCAGTGATTCGACTAGCACTCTTGTCAGTGGTGGTTCCAAGGGGGGAAGGGCAATGGGGCTAAAGCCCTCCTTGCTTAAAAAAATAAACTTAAACATATATTTCGTCCAAAAAACGTAACCGATAGGTTTTTGGATACATTTCTAGACATTAAAAAAATGGCTTTTAGAAAGTCACCAAATGGCTTCAGAAAGTCTACAAATGGCTTTAAAAATGCCAAACTTTCCTAGGGAGGACACCCGGACCACCCTCCTTTATTGGGGGGTTTCTCACAATCCTAAGCACTCGGTAGCCCCTCCTCTTGACAAGGTCTAAAGCCACCACTGACTCGTGTTATCTCTAAGCTATTTTAACTGTCTAGCAAGAGTAAAAATGTTTACTAAAAATAAATGAATTTAATATTCATTCTAAAGATGGGCGAAGACTTTAGCTTTTTCACTGCAACTATTCAACTCTGTGAACTATTTACCTTCAATAAACATCTACAAAATATAATTACCTTTCCTGCTTCACTGTGATCCAGAAGTTCCCCTGTCATCATATGAGCTTCACCATCCAAAGATTTACTCCTCTTAGTGTCCAAAAACTCTCTCTGGAATGTACACTCTTGCAGCCCTGAACAAACAGAACAGAAACATTAACATTACTATGACATTACTCTACTCTGACTGACATTACTCATTATTAACATTACTCTATGAGCAAGTCAGTGGTATAATGTGAGACTGTGTTTAAATATTTAACTATAAGCAGGCTGAGTTAATGTTGACCAGGATTTTGCTGTACTGTTATTGAATTCCTAGTCTATTGGCTGCATCTAAAGGTTATACTTTTACATGTAGCTTCTGACCGATAAAGTCTGCATTTTTCTGGACTCTTTGAACTTCATCTGTTATCCTGTTATGTATTTGACATTTGTTATCATAAATAAGCAAAAGACAAATTTTCAGTATCTTAATGAAATTATTTGTCTTAAACTACTCATAGTAAATCAAATTCCTTTTCTGTACTCCTTTGCTATGAAGAGCTGGCTCAGTTTGGTAACCATGTGGCTGCATTGCTTAATTTTGTTGTTTTTTTTATTTTTTTATGTTCACTTTTTAGCTAAAATATTTTCCCTGGCCCAGATCAATTTGAATGCATTACCCTTAGTGGCAAAATGGATAATGTGAAACTTCCTATTAATCTTAAATACAAAAATGTTTTTTTTTTATAACTAGCTACCTTACTCTCTGTTCGCTATACCATTAGGAATATGGAAGTGTCCCTGAACATTAGGTTGAACCTGATTTTCGCAGGAACGCAGCAGAGTGGCGTTTTAGTACCTCTCTTTCAGAAAAATAAAAATATGGCATAAATAGGTACTAATCGCATTAAATAGGTTATAGTTTTGGCACCTCATTTTTTACAAATCGAGCACTGGGTGCAACACATTATGATCAGGGGCTCTCCCATATTTCTATACTCTGCTCACCAAATTTAGGTGGTTTAAAGGAAGGTATCCTGGCTCAGCTGATCAGCTGTTGTTGGTTGTTATTCAAAGTAAAGGTAAGGTGGAGGGGATGCAATTAATTGCTTCCCCTCAAACCACCTAAATTTTGCAAACGGAGTACAGGGGCACATAAGTCTGAAATGTATAGTTTAAATAAAAAGTAACTGAGTACAGTAGGTTTACAGATCATCAATTTTAAATTGATTGTTTAAATCTTCCTACTATGTTTTAGAACTCTAAGATTCAAAACCATGCTTTTTATTTTTTTCTGCCACTGTAGCCTGTAAACACTACTCTAACACTACATCAGTCCAGCCTGTATTTCCAACACTACACTAAAAATAACACTAACAAGATCCCTCTCAACACTAAACACTAATCCGTTAGTGTTGAACTTTTGTTTGTTTGGCTTAGACAACCGACAATATCTGTGTAATGGGCCTGAAAGGTTGAGTTGTGTTGACTACAGAATTCTACCACCTCACATGCTGTACAGCTGTAGCATGTAACCGCATGTATGTGGAATGGGTACACAATGTTGCTCACAAAAAATTGATACTGATAAACTTTCATTAGTTTCACAAAAGGGCACACAATTTCGGGACTTAGTGTTAAAATGTTGCTATGAAGAATCAACCGTATCATTTGGTCTAAGAATCTGTACTCGCACCACCTTAAAAATTACATAGATGCACACAATTTGCTGTAATTAGAAAAGCTCATGGCCATAGTGTCATGTGGTATGACAAAACTACTAATTAGTCTATACAATTTGGAGATAAAACTCTTTTATATAGGTAGTTCTATACTAATAATGTTGTAGGTAATATTTTTTTGGGAAGTGTCCCATCAAGACATTTCATTCAAGTATGTGGTTGATAGGTGTTCAGCTTATAGTTTTCTCAAAAGTTCATGTTGCTTAGCTCTACAGAGAGTGACTGTATCATAGCACTGAAAAATTGTAAAGTCATGATTCATGAATCATAAGGTAACCGATCAATTAAACATACCTTTTCTAGTATGTCAGGTGTACTGCACAGTTTTGTTGTTTTTGCAATGTCTGTGTCAATCTTTCACACGGTCATTGTCGGTATAACACAAACCTCTTTCACCACCCTAAAAACCCCATTGTTGTTTGTAAAAAATTTTACTAAGTTAACACTTATTTGTCGCCTCACAATTTGTTTGCTTAATGAATAATTTCTGACTTCAGTGAGAAAAATTGTGGTTCTATCCCTGGCACATCCACAAAAAATTGAGATGTTTGAACTTTTTCCCTTGAAATCATTTGTGATTATTTAAATCGAACTAGCATACACAATAAAGAGAAAAGGTTGAATAATTATTTTCTTCCACCCGTACAAGGTATTGTTATAATATGCTTGATTAATTATATGTCTCATTTAATGTTCTCTACACATGTTCTTAACAGTCTCACTATTGTACAGTTTCATTATTGGGTGCGGATTATACACAATTCACCTCAAGTTAGAGTTTCAATGTATTGTTTTACTGACATTTGGAATGTGTAGAGTGCCCTAGTTGGAAGTTCAGTCCAAATCTATTTTAAAACGTAAACAGTTTATCTTTGGCAGTGCTCATTCCTTCCAAAAGATATCTTGAAATTACATTCTTTACTGTAAAATCAATTTCATTTAAGTTTGACATCACAAACAATCAAAATATCATGATTTTAAACACTTTTTTCTTCAGCTACAAAGCATTGTTCATGAGAAAACATGATACTAGTCTTGCATCTTCATTGTTCTTTGCTCTCTCCTCTCTCTTTTCCATTCATACTTGGTAATTTGCATATTAAATTGCAAGAGCTCAAATTACACAAATTACCGTACACAAATTGGCACAATTCTTTTAGAGAATTACCAAATGTATTGGAAATAAGCTATTAATTTAGGTCTCATAGTAAGACCTGGACCTGGGACCGATTTGCTTTTTGTTTTGGGATCCTCAGAGGCCAAAAACACCATCCGTTCGGATTCAAATATGCTGGATGCAACCAGGACCAATCTTTACAGCAAATATATAAACACAAGTAGAGTAAATTGCACGGAAATTGGCTGGTAGAGATTGTAACATCTGATTACAACACCTATTTCATTCAAATGAAATTTGGCAACATCTCATTGGACAATTACATTAAATAGGTTCACGCTAACACTTTTGTTCAGCTTCCCATTCCGGGGGTTAAAAAATGGAGAAAAATTTTACATAGAGATGGAATGTTTGGCATTTTGACAGTATCACACTATTAAGAGGTTCTTCAACTATTTTCTATTTCAATAAATAAACAGCTTCAGCTGTTCTATAGAGATGATATGTCTACTTCAATATCACAAAGACAATAGTACGACACATACCTCGACACAATTCTCAGTCAAAAATATTATGGTCAATGGTTAAACCATACAACAATGTATGTCAATTACACATGTTGCTGCACACTCCCACGTGTTAGTAACTAGTAGCGACTTGTGACGGCGCTGTCACTTCTCGGAAGACAGCGAGGCACATTTTGAGCAGTTTTTATCACCTCGTGCCAGTAAATATGTTACCCACGGAGCTTGTAGTTCTGGCACTCGTCTTGCACACCTCTCGGACAGATATAAACACAACCTTGCGGACATTAGCATAGAGCATTAGCACCGCCACTTAGAGACACTTCTGTGAATTGTGAATTAAATCTTCTTCGAACCAGTTAAATTAATTGGAATCAACAGTGTGGTCATTGTGGAAACTCAGCTATGAAGTCAAAGTTCTATCAACTGTATTGGCCTGATTAAGGCTGTTATTTATTATATGTTTGACACCAATGGTTTTTAAGAAGAAAGTGTGTTATTTTGAGAAAGCTTCAAATCATTTTAGCTATGCCTCTAATACTCGAATATTTGTTGGTCAAATATTATAAACCAACCTTTATACCAAGCCAAACAGAAAGGGCAACATTATGTAAACTATTGCACCTTTTGCGTTGCGCATGAATAGAATGAGATTTTAATACTCATCAATTTATTGAGATACACCACCTTAGGTGGTACTTTAACTCAAATATGAGTGAAGGATGAGTGTAGAATAGTGTGTGATCTGTGTAGCTTTGTTACTGACTAAAATCAGCTGTTTCATCAGTCAGGATCATCTTCTATATATAAAGGCAAAAGTACCCATGAACTTTTGAGAAAACTACAAGTCACACCCCCATAAACCATATACTTAAAATGTTCTTTATGACGAGAAACCTTTCGCAAAATTATCCATTTTTTCATAAATTGCCCTTTAAGGTCTTAGTTGCTTTCCAAAGGGAACTTTTCATATACCTAATGTTAAAAATACCTCAGCTGTTCTTATTTGTATGTTATTCTTTCAATTATTTATTACCTTATTAAAATCTGGTGTGATTATTTGTTTGTAATGCTGTATTCTGTTTTGTTTATTTCATCTTAACTTAACCAATCAATAGTTTTTTATAATACTTTGAAGTCAAACGGGTTGAAGCCCGTGGGTAACAGCTAGTTTATATTTAAAGCAAAAAATTATCACGTACATTTGGGTCCAGTGTGGAACCATCAAAAAGCTACTATGACTTAATTGTCGAACCGGCAACCTTTTGACGAGCTACCCAGCCATCATAGAATGAAAAACCAAAAGATATAGAAGGTCTGTGAAAAAGCACATTCTATGAGACTTGAATTCAATTTAAAAACTCATAGTAACTTTTATACGACTTCAACTATCTCCTGAGTAAAAAAAATAGGGTATAAAAAAGAATTTTTGACTGTTGCATACTCTGTGGCCGGCTCATTCATCTACGTTAAGTTTCTTTCATAGCATCTCCAGGTTTTTTTTTAATTTTTTTTATTTTGAATTGTGATTTTCTCATATAAAGCCCACAAAACAATAGAATAATTGGATTTTAATGAACTAGCTCAAACGACCTTTGATTAAAATGTTGCATACCTATCATGGTCCTTTTGAGTCTTATCAGAATGGTACAACCTCCAAAAATTTGTTAATTACGATTTAAAAAAAACAGCTTTAACATTTTCATATAGGTACTGCAGATTGGATATCAACTTGTTTATCCAAAATTACATATTCAGCCTCGGTA